CAGCACTTCCACCTCAAACCCTACAACCTGTTCAGATTCTCCAAGTTTCATAAGCTGCTTTGGTGAGAGTTTGTGCTTTGAGTCTCTTTTGAATAAGTTGATACAGTTGTGGGCAAAAGTATTCATAGACCGAAAGCAAACTGTCTGCTCTATTGATCGGTGTTTCTCAACCTTGACCACTTGAAGATGTGTGGACTTCAACTCCCAGAATTCATGGCTGGCTGGGGAATTCTGGGAGTTGAAGTCCACACATCTTCAAGTGGTCAAGGTTGAGAAACACCGATCAATAGAGCAGACAGTTTGCTTTCGGTCTATGAATACTTTTGCCCACAACTGTATCAACTTATTCAAAAGAGACTCAAAGCACAAACTCTCACCAAAGCAGCTTATGAAACTTGGAGAATCTGAACAGGTTGTAGGGTTTGAGGTGGAAGTGCTGGGAAAGTCCTGACGTGGTGAAAAATTCTCCAACTAGAGAAGACTCATCATCTCTGTACACAGATGTGGGAACCAGGACTGGGGATTGAGGATGCCCAAAATCTCTCAGCTCTGCACACCTTGGCACCTGTATACCTACTTGGCGTGCTTAACGGGGACAGAAGAGTTTCTCCGACGATTCTGCAATTTCACAGCCAATGGCCCCGAGGACCTAACCGGACAGAAAGCTTTCTGTCTGGAAGAGACGCTGCTCAACCTCATAGAGACGCTGTGCGTGTCTGAACTGGCTCCCCAGGCCATCGCTGCTTTTAAACCAAGCCATTTGCTCAAGTGTCACTGGAGAAAAATACCGAGGTGTTCTTGTGTTGTTCTGGAGAACTGAAGGTAGTCTGAGATTGCAGTTATGTTAGAAACACTCATCTTATGTTGGCCTTCAATCAAATAAATTCCGGAGGGGGATTGTGTTTCTTTTACAAACACCTGCTACATGTCTTCAGGGCAGCAACTCAGTCAGAGAGACATGGGTGTGCATTTGCGCTACCAAACCAAGTTCCTTTCGAAACGCTTTCAACTTTGAGCCACGCTGAACCTGAGGCAACGCGGCCTGAGGACAGTTAAGTCTTTTCTTAGCTAGAAATCAAGAGTTATAAATCAGCCCAGTTATATCAGGGAGGGGAGAAAGAATCTGAGCCCAGATTCTACGGCTCTAAACATGGTTTTCATGCAGGATTTTTTTTTTACAGAAAAAAGACTTGGATTGTTCACAAAAATGGGATTGTGAAATTGGAATATTAATTCTGCAGGCTCAGAAACATAGGACCCTATCTGGGAGCCCCTGCAGGTCTTCCCAACCATGCATTAAAGCAGGGCAAGTCAAGGTGAGGCTCATTTCACCAAACAGATAGACAGTCGCTTCCCCGAGTCTCAGGAGTGTGTTGAAGAAAGATACAGCTCTGGAGAGGAAAAAGCCTCCAATTCAATTCCAAGTCCTATTAGGACAGGTTCTTCCTGGAAGCCCCCAGGAACTAACAGAGGCCTTCACCAAGATACTCCTTCTGTGGCAGGATGTGCAAAGGAGAGCATTTTGTCCTCAGAACATGGCCATTTCCATCTACAATTGGCCAGCTGGGGCATTCTGGGGGCGGGGTGCCCATTTCTGGAACATCCTGCCTACACCCTTGAAAGCAGATTTGTGGAAAAGAAGGAACGTGAAAGCTCGCCAGCCATGGAATTAGAGGAAGAGGAAGGAGAAGAGAATGGATGGAGTTACCTTTCCACAACTTCATGGCCGTTCCAGCAAAACGTGTTGTTCTGCACCGTGGAACTGTGGCTGCAGATATATTCTGGCAAGCTGCTGTAAAAGCCACTGTGGGCCCGCAGTTTTGCGACAAGTTCCCTGCAACAAGCAGACAAGCAAACGCAGAAGTAGGCTTGCAAGTGGACCCAGGCAATTGTTTTATCCTTGCCTACCAGCCCACCTCAGGCCGCAAGAGAGAACGCAGGTGTCTCCCCGCCATCCAGAAAGAGCTTGCATACCTGCTCCACTGTCATTAGCAATTTGGGCTTACAGATTATTGGGGATGACAAGGAGAATTCAGCCATTCCTCATTAAAAGATGGTAGCTGTGGTGGACATTTGATGCTCAAATGGTGTGGTGTAATGCTGCTCTCTGCCACTAAGTGGCACTGGAACACTGCTATACATGCAGAAATCTGCCCAGCGTTTCCGAAGCACATTTTACCAGATCATTGCAAAAAGACAATTGGGTTTAATCTGTTGCAATGCAACCAACATCTTAAACAGCAGCTCTTCTGGTGTGGCATATTCTTCCAGGAGCATGTATGCAAAAAACTGCCTTATAAACGCTATTGGTACATCTAGCCTAGAATTTATTTTATTTTATTTTATTTTACGGATAAGCTAGCCAGTTGGAGAAGGAATCAAGGCAACATTAGAAAATTGTGTCACAAAATAGATCTTTAAAAAAACCCCACTAAGCAGAGTAGAATGATTGAGAAAGATCCTATGCAGACTTATAACAGCCCTGGATTTCTGCAGCTCACTTAATGGTGCAATTTCTGTGGGCGACCTGAAAGTGGAGCCCAGAATCTACTAAGAGGTGGTCCTGGATGCTCCCCAGTCACTTCTGTAAGTGGCTAATCAATGCAATTCCTGAACTTTCTACCTCTCACGGATGCAGCATTTTGCACAAAAAGCATGCAAGAATTTGCCAAAGATAAGCTACCCAATTTCCACCCAGCTAAGAAATCACTTATGCAAACCATATCATGGAAAAACCTTGCAGATTGAGGGTACTGGGCCTTTCCAGCTAAGAAGAAATCCATTGTCTGGATCACTCACATGCTGAAAATTACGGGTGGGCAGAGTCATCCTCCAACATTTTCCCCACTCCTCTTCATTCAGTTTAAGGAAAGGAAATCTGCTCAGAAACCAATTTTGGAGAAATTCTCCTGGGTGCAGCACGGAACCCTAGCGCTTATTAATCCACACCACGCGGGTGCGTCCTGCCCCTCAGTCCTTCCTTCTCCAAGATCTGCAGCGTCCCTGGCTTCTTCTGCTTCCATTCAGTCCCCAGAGAAGGTCTCAGGAGAAAAACCGCCCCGTGGGTCTTCTCCAGCCACAACTAAGAGGGAGTCTTCTCCTGGGTAAATGGCAGAATTTTTCCTTTCCCTGGAAAAATTCCAAGGAATTGCCCATCCATCTTTTTTTGCTCAAAAACATGTGGAGAATTTCCAAAGACTGTTTGGGTCCCGGGATTAAAAACTGCACGAAGGGTCAAAGAAAACAGCCGTTGAGACCTGCATGGCATACGCCGACGTGCCGAAATGTACGGGATGCGGTCTTCTCGGGAGCATTGCCCAGTTGCCAAATCCCCCGCCTGGTAAACGTGTGTTTTATCTTCCTTCCAGCGGCCTGAGCCCTCTTACATTTCCACCCCTCTGCTTCGTTTCTCATTTTCGCAGCTACGCTATTTCGGGGTTGCCTTTCAGCCCTCCAGCTTCTGCTGCGTTTTAACAGATGAAGAAAAAACAACCTGACAGCTTCGTTGCGTCGTTTTCCTTGGAGACAGAATTTTATGCTTATGTTGCACAACCTCCTGACAACGATTAGCTATCAGGCGACTAATAAATCTTAGAAATAAATAAACCCCCAACTCAAAGCTATGCCCCGGCCTCATGGGAAGCAGCAGGCGGCATGCTCTGCGCATTTGCACGGGGGAGAAAACGCATCGCGGCCCCTGGGAGTGATCTGAACGCTGGCAGCCGGGAGAGGGTGCCTGGGAGGAAGCCAGCACCTCACCCCTGACCAGGTTGTATCAGGCCAGCATACAAAGTGGGGGGCAAAGCAAGGACAGCGACTTCCCCAGGAGCACGAAATCAGCGTTGCGCCTCCAAGCAGGGCCGACGGGACATCTGCGCCTTCAGGATGCGAAGGGGGACAACTTTCCAGCGGTGCAGCTTCACCCCTACCGGCTCACGGCTGCAAGGATCCTCTTATAGCTCTTTTGGAGGCAAAGACCTTGCACGCGCAAGCACACCCATGCACAAACACACACGCCACTCCTTTCTTCACCCAAGGACTTGGCCGCAACCGGCGTAACGTTAGCTGGTTACGGTTTCCTTCTGCCTTTGCTTCCTGTCGTTTATTCCAGCAGACGATCCAGAGAGGCGGCAGTCCATCCTCTTCCGTACGAAGCAAACTGTGATAAGGATTAGTCGTGCATTGTAAAAGGGCCCAGCCAGGCTGGGGAAAAACAAACACCAGCCTTTGCGATCCCCCTTATCACCATATTCCAGCAGGCTGCGTAGCTGACTTAGAAATCAAAAAGCAGGGACAGAAACACAGACGTTACAGCTCCGTCTGCAGCGTTGGCTGCAAGTGGCACCCCACCTTGTTGCCGAGCGTATGAATGATGCCAAAACCGAGTGGGTCTCCCCAGCGATAAATAAGATCTAGCTAATGAGGGGCATTGGGGGGTCTGGACTTCAAATGAGGGGCGGAGAAGTGGGGATGGGGAGGCAGATAAGCCACGGTGGCCTTCTGGGTGTTACTGCACATCCATTTCCAGCCGCTCTGGGCATCATGGCCAGGAAAGACACGAGGGAGCTGCAACCCGCCACCCAGAGCACTGCAAAGAGCATCAGTGGGGCATTCATGGTCTTTGGGAACACAGAGCGAAAGGACTTCCTGGCGTCTCAAGAGAACTGTGGTTCACTGTGTGAAACTGATATGGTTGACCATCACATCCCGGTGGCCTTTCCCACACGTCCAGAAGAGCCCTGTGGGAATTTCAGGCTAAATTGGTGCCAGTGGTTTTCTCACAGCAAAATCCCCACGTGAACTCCCAAGACAGGGTGCGGCGTGGGCGGCTACAAGCCCCAGGCCTGTTCCAAAGAGGTAGAACTTGACAGCTTCACAAGTGGGCGCAAACAGCAAGTCTTCTTTTTCATCTTTCTCAAAGGAAAAAGTTCTTTCTTCCTTTCGGCGCACGAGCAAAGGGAGAGAACTTTACGGACACAAAATACGGAACATACAGATCAGCCGACCTTACAAAACAAGAGACGTTCTTAGCAGGGTAACGCCCAGATGGCGAAAATTATTTATCAAAATACAAAAAGTCTTTCCACGGTCCCATCCAGCTTTTCCTCCGCGGAACTTCAAATTATCTCCACGCCAGACGCCAAACAACCCTGATCTGTTTAACTTTGGTGTCACGCGACTTCTAAGACATTCATGAAACTTTAAAGCTTCATCGTTGAGACGGGCCACCCAAATGCCACAGGGGTTCTGCTGTTTCAGATCTGGACACCATTTCCAGCTTAAAACTACATCCCAAAGGTGTATTTCGTGATAAGATGCAATCCAATTTTCCAGCGGAGTTTTAGTTTAGCTTTCTTTTTTAAAAATCCTGGCCGCATAACCCGATGGAACAGGTCTGAACACACCTACATGAAACCGAGATGGGCAGAAATAAGTCGCCCTTGATTTCTTCCAGAATGCCGCTTAAAACACAGGCAGGGCACAAGAGCCCATCCGCGTAGTCACCCAAATCACAGAACCAGCTGCTATGCTATTAGCCAGGATCGCCTTCTTTTTCAGAAAGAAAGCGAGCCGGAATAAGTATCTTAGCCAGAGTCTGGGGGGCGGGGGGTTAGTACAAGAGCCCGGGGGGCTTCTGAGCTGAAAATTGCAGCTTTGCTCCTCAAAGAACTTCTGACACTAATGATCACATTCCCTGACCGCTTAAACGCCAGTTTTTAAAAACTCCCCTGCTATATTTGAACTGGAAGGCCACAAACGACTACTTTAATTACAGGCCAAGGCTACACAATGGGTGCTTTTGGACGTCTGTTATTGCCTACATCTTAGCAATAAACAAGATGACATGGGAAACGCTTTATGTCCGGCAGGAACCAAGCCATGGCTGTGAGGCTGCCCGGCTGGCATTTCCTGTTCTGGTTCTGCCTTTTTTGAAGCCTTCACCAGGATCAGAGACCCGGCGCGAGGGCAGAAGATCGAACTCTGTCTGGAGGGGAACGAGAAAGTCAACGGCTAGTTAGCTCCCAGCCCAGGTTCAGAAAACACATGGAGGCTTGGTTGAGCTAAGTGGCCAGAGCGCAGATACGGCCTGTAGTTAAAGTTCTCAACTCCTTTTCAGCCACTTCGCAATTCAGATGACCCGCTCAGCCGAGCCACCAAGCAGTGAGGGCGTTCAGGACCAGGTCAAGCTCCAGGTCTCCCGAGGGATCCATGCATACAATGGGACACATGAGGTTCCCACAGCAAAGTTCAAACCGTGAGCCCATCTCGGTTTCCTCACCTCTTTCGACTGGATAGGGTTTCTTGGGGTTCCACCAGAGTTGCGCCCATCATCCTCTGGTCAGCAACATGATCTTCGGGACTCCAAGCTGATCGGTGCTGCCTCTGCTGGGAAGGGCCACACAGTTTGCTGATCTGGAAGAGAAAAAACCCAAATCAGGAATTCCACAGCTTTTCAAGGCCTGATGGTCACCAAGCCCATATTCTTCCGAGTCTTGCAGTTGCAAACCAAATCAAGTTTACAGTTAATTTGAAGTTAAGAAGATTTACACCGATTTACAGGCTGGCTGGAGAACTCCGGGAACTGAAGTCCACACATGTTAAAGTTGCCAAGGTTTAAAAACCCTGGTGTACATGAATGTAATGCTCAATCACGGTTTAGGGTTACCCCTTCCACATAACACCAAGTCCCAGGCTCTAAGTGCTCACTCCACAGCAGGCAAGCCAACAGTGGTTCATTGTGCCTAAGGCAACCTTACAGACCCCGATTCCTGGTTTGGGAAGAAATTTAGCATGCTCACTGCACAGGTCAGAAGTGGGCACCCCTCTCTCTTGCCTCCCTTCTGCTGTCTTCTAGCTGCTGTTCTTTCTCTTCCATGAAGAGGCCACCCCGTCTTGTTACCACCACGAGCACCCCAACTGTGTGTTTTGGCACATAAATCCAGAATACCACATACTCATTCCTGACGCCGTGAAATAGCAGGCGTTTCTGCAACATTTCATTCTCCCTGTCAAGAAATCTCTGCCTTAATTATGGGCTGAGATCTTGCTGGCCAGCCTTGGCCCCTGGCATACACAGCTGCTCTGCTGCTCCCTTGAGTTTCACCCTTTTGGGGGGGGGGGGGGAGCGCATTCTCTCTCTCTCTGCATGCCCCCCACCCCGCCGCTGCAGTGCCACAGGCAAAAACCTGGTTGCAGAGAAGCTCATCTTATGTTGAGGCCCCACAAACATCTTCCCTGCTCCAAATGGCAACAGTCGCAGTAGGAAGCTGGCTTAAATTTGGCTTTGGCGTCTCATTCCTGATCCATTAGTATGTCTGTGCGTCTGTGACCGCTAGAGAGTAACAGCCGGGGGGGCGGGGGGCTCGGTTTTCCTTTTTAAAAAGAGGACGCAGGCTTCGTTATATGCCAAAGAATATTTCTGAGTCAGAGAAGTGCCCACCTCTGCCCCACTTCCTACAACCCGCAGGGTCGACTTACCACTCAGGAAGAGACAACCTTTATCCTGCAGGTTGGTCTGGGCATCTGGCACTGGCAGGTATACTGCCTCTGCATAGGTAGGCTCCCTTCCACTGAACCCAGACACGCCTATTTATTTTCAATATCGCCCAACGGGCATCGCAGGGTGGGTTTCCCTTGGCTTCTCTTGAATGTACTCTGAGTGTTTTCAACCACCCAGAATCCAGACTTGTCCAACTGGGTGGCTTGAGGGCCTGTGGGAGAAAGGCTGCTCCCTGAGCAATAAGACGGATGTTCTGCGTGCAACGTCCGAATCTTTGCATCATCCCCGGGCCTGGGAAAAACGGCTTTCTGAACCTGCAGAGCGCAACTTGGTGCAATCCCACACAATCGGAATTCTAAGCCTCCCTCTTTTCCAGCCCTATCACATCTGACGGCGTTTCATGATCCTTGGTGACGTCCACCCTTATTTGTTCTCTTTTGCTCAACTAGCCCACCAAAGGCTATGGGGAAGGGACAGGGTCTCAGGCCGAAGGTCGCTGCCCAATCGCAAGGCTGAACGTCAAGAGCGAAAGGGCCATCGCAGGAACTGCGTTTCATTCGACTCCAGTTTAATCGAGCCAAAGGCATTCCCACGTTTCCTGGCTCCACCCACTTCATTGTTCTGCCCGCCCACTAGGGATGCTCCTCCCCCGGTCAAAGGTCCAATGCGTGCCAAGCTTACAGCCCCTTGGCAGGGGGACAGGCTGAAGAGTTTTTAGAAGTTTTTCTACTGCAAATGATCCTATACAGATTGCTTAACTATAATCTGACCATCTTTCAGAAGTTTAATCCAGTGTTTCTCAATCTTAGCAACTTTAAGGGGTGTGGACTGCAACTCCCAGAATTCCCCAGCCAGCCATGCTGGCTGGGGAATTCTGGGAATTGTAGTCCACATCTCTTAAAGTTGCCAAGGTTGAGAAATGCTGGTTAATCCAATCCACCGTGCATGACCTATTGTTCCTCTTTTTCCTTTTTCAAGCTTATGTTAACTTTATTTTTACTTTAAGCCCCCAGTATTTTAGCATTTCCCTGTTGAAGAGACGCCCAAATCGATGAATACGGCTGCGGTCCCCTTTCTAGCTTGTTTTCTACCTTGCTCTCAACCTGCAACAAGTTTGTAGAACAGCAGTACAAATAGGCACCTTTCATTTAATTAAAGTTACCAGAAGGTGACCCTCAAACCCATGTATTTCTAGTCTGCTAATGGAATTCTCTTTTTTTTAACCCAAGGAAATGTTCAAAACTTACATGGAAAGGATGGGGTATAGGACATAAACTTTTTAATAGTATTAGCCAGGCCCATTTAACATTTCTACAGGTGTAATCAAAATGCTAATATATGTTAATGTTTAGTCTGTGGTTAATGTTTTGTCTTCTTAATTTCCCTTGGGCTTTTCGTGCAGATTTAAATCTGCCATGTTATTCAATGGATTGCACTGTTTCTGGAAGGCGCATCTCCCTGGCGAATACTGATTAAGGGAAGGGAACAAATATCGTATTGGCCAAAAAGGCCCAGAAGGAAGCGAAAGAAAATAAAAGGCCATCATTTCTTATTATTGGATGGCTGAAATCACCGTACACATTTGCTTCTAAGGCCCCTGCTTCCGCCTCTCTTGAAATGGGAAGATCATGAGTGCAATTTAAAGAACCAGGCAGAAGGAGCCCCTCCTGAATCAGGGCCAGGCAGGGCAACGGGGTCTACAGAAGGGCGCTTGTGTCTGCATGCCCGCGCATGTTCATTGCGCACTCTTTCTAGAGCCTCTGCAGCCCCCGTGGCTCTCTGCCCCTCCGTGACATCCCCAGGAAACCCCTGAAGCAAACTCCTCCTGGGGGGGGGTCAGGCTGGGAATGGTGGGCAGCCAAAGACATACAACAGAAAATAAGAAAATAAGAACACGCGATTGCTAAAATGTATACGCTTTTATTGAAACCTGAAATGGAAGACGAACAAGGTGAAGAGTGTAGGATAAACGGGGCCAAGAATTTTGGTTATAATATACAGATGGACCGATGGGAGAAAATGTGGTTGAAAGGGCTGAAATTTACATGGTGTGATCACTTAAAAGAGAACTTTCCCCAAGTGATGTATATGACACCGGAAAAATGACCTAGGATGTATAAAGGTGCTTCAAATTTACGTTGGAAACGTGGAAAACATGAAGGGTCATTTTATCACGCATCGTGGACTTAAAAGCATGGTTCCATAAACCGTGGTTAAGCAAAACCCTGGTTACAGGTGGCATCTGGAATGTAAATTCACACTAATATATGCAATTCTTCCAGCTGGGTTAGAGTAGCTCTGAAACGATGTTTTGAAAATCTGTGATGCCTTTGCGTTCAAGGTAACAAATTAGAAAAATTATATAAAGGTAATGGTTTAAATCTAAACCTTCCTGATATGACCTCACCAGCAGCGTGAAAAAAAGATGTATTTCATGCCCTGGAGGTGTTTCAATATTGTGACAGCTTTAATAATTCACCCCCAAAATGTGTAAAGGCAACAAAACATAAACACTTTAAATAACACCGTTTCTATCACTTCAGTTCACACGTCTTCCGGGAAAACGTGCTTTTAACCAAGATAGTGAGACCACCAACGCCGTACAGATGCCAAGGGAACTTCAGCAGGGTGGCAATACTCCCAAACAACATATCTAGGGAAATAAAAAAATCTATTAAGTAATTTGGTGCCAGAAGTAAGAGAGAGAGAGAGAAGGGTTACTAAGCTTAGGAAATGTACAAAAGTTCTCAGCCAATGAGTCAGGAATGTTATTAAATAAAGAAACTTATTGATTTGATTTGAAAGGCTGTGGGTGGCTTACAACATATCCAATACATTAAGTTAGAAAAGGCCATTTTAAAAAACAAAGAATGAGAACAGATGTGCCATTAGGATAAACCCCAAAGTGTGGAAACTGGTAGAATAAGGCTATTTCCCAGGTATGACTCCTCAGGGCCCCGGGGAACCAGCATATTGCAAAGCAAAGCAACTGCCTGTATGTAATTTTTATTTCGAGATTGTGTCTGGCCCCAAATGCACCTCCTTAGAATATAAATGTGGTAGCAAGATGTGGTGCAGAATGTAGGTTGGAAACTGACCCCCTGCTCGCTTGTGGGCATAGACACTCAGGGGCTGGAGAGGAAAGGAAGCCAGCAGGATCTCCCCCTCCTTCCTGGTTCAGATTCCGCAAAGATGGAGAAGGGTTCGTCTCCCGTCTCCAACCCAACTGCGCATGGCTGTAGGAACTGTCATCCTGCCATCCTGGGCCTGGCCAGGCTGTTTGCCTTCCCATGCGCTTCTTGGTGAACATCTGACAGTTCCACCACCCACGATGATGGCTTGAAAGAGGGCTGGCTGAGTTCAAGGAAGGAGACAAGCCACCTTGTTGGGCAAAGCAGGTGACGTTGCTCCCGAGGGGGAGCAGGAAATTTTAGAAGGCTAAGTCTAGAAGAGGAACAAACCTTTGCAGAACATCTTAAAAGTCAAGGTTGGCAACATAAAAGTCACCGAAAAGTGCGTCAACGTGAGGGGAGATGTAGAATTCCAGGTGCGCATCAGCCACGGATGCTGAACATCCCCGCGAATCTCCATGCAGAATTGAGGAATACAAGCCGAGCAAAAGCGCATTTTCTGGAAGAGCTTTGCGCGCTAAAAATCCTAGGCTTGCTTCCTCCTTCAGGCAAGGCTGCAAAAGACCCTGAGTGGAAAGTCTTGGCAGGATGAGAGCTGAAGATGCAATCTGGGCCCTCCTGCACAACTGGGAAGAGAAGGGGGGGTGAAGGGTGGCCCGGCGCAAACTGCTTCTAAGGGGGCTCTCCAACCTCTGCAAACAGCTGTGGGCAACTGGAAAGGACCAAGCCTTGCGCTACTCTGATGTAACTAAGGTGGCCAAGCCCAAATTCTTTTTCTTGAA